CCCCAAAACCCCAAAACCCCAAAACCCCGCCATCAGAATATCAAATGATTATAAAAATGATTAGAATTAATCCATAAATTTTATATTTATTTACATTATGAATTCTTCGTTCTACGATGATCAAGAGTCTTTCTCCTCCCGTAGATACTTCATCATTTCTTCAAAAAAGCAAGAAAGCTCAGCAAATAAGATAAAGTACAATTAGTCAAAGCTTATAATGTATAAATTTAGTGTTGAGAAGGCAAACCTCTATAATTAGAAGGTATTTTGAGAGGATGAAGCATATAACCAGTAAAAACCTGAAAAAGCATTTATTTCTAGGAAGAAAAATAGCAAGAACACTGATGAGAAAGAGAAAAGCCGAAATCTGGCCAATAAAAACACATAGGTAGCAAAGGGACACAGCAGCACTAACTCATTCCAGAGATTTGCAAATGATACCAGAGCAATGGATGACATTTTGAAATCTAAGACCAAGGTCGAATGCAAAATGGAGTCATAAATAGATTTTGAGAAGTTATCAAAAGACTATATCAAGGAGTAAACCCTTTAGCCCTAGAAACTAAAACCTAATAAACCTGAACAGTATCAGCGCAATTCTCTCATGGTCCATATGCAGTTTCAAAGTAAACTAATCTATAATATTTTTTCCCAAATTATAACTTATATTGATAGATGAACTGGTTTCAATGACAAAACCAAGAAGAGTAGATTCTGATATGAACAATAATGATAAGTAATTATTGCCTCTGCAAAGTACAATGAATGAGAAAGTTCAGCTAGGGTTGAATGCAGGTTCTCGCCTCTCAATACTTTCACCTCAGAATACACTTCAATAGAATTAGTATTCTATAGGAGGTACTCCAAGCAACAGCAAGCGAAGAAAAAGTACTTTTGCTGGTGCTGTGCCTCATATCCCTTAAATGACAAGTGGAGTAGGAGAATCCAACTAATAAATAGGTTCCAACTCCTCCTCAAAATCACACTAAATCCAATCTCTTCACAAAAAGCAAATCATTGATGCTGAATAATTGTAGAATTCTAAAATAATCATCAGCTGCAAGGAGAAGTACATAAACTTTACCAGTTCAACAGGTTATCTAATGCTAAACATCATAGCTACAGGTATTTCTACATTGATCGATTTAATGAGAGTTTCATTCTTCGATAGTAAGGCTGATCAAGCATTTTTCATTGTGATGATATTGCTCTAAGCTATCATAGTAGGGTAAATAATTGGAAAATTCTTAAGACTTGGCAAGCTTTATTTCCTCTAACTCAACAGCTATGTAGAGATGACCTTTGTTATCTTAAACTTCAACTCGACCTATTTGCAGCCTAACTATACAATTTACATCGTAATAAACTACCTGAAAATCATAAACGTGACAAGAATCTCAAACATATTTATGTTCATTAAAAAGAGATAAAAACAACTACTAATTGAGAAATATAACAAAGAAAGAGAAAGAATCAAGAAGAAGCAGGAAAAACAAATTTTAAACTTCAGTAAGAATGATAAATTTAGAAAATCTTAGTCACTAAGGGCTCTATCTCCGAATAAAGTCGGTGAAAGCATTAGAGGTAAATTTTCAACTGCAGCAGCTGAATTGAGCTTGTCTTTGCATAACAACAATGCGATCTAATAATAATTACCTCAGAGGAGATAATCTATATAACATTAAAGAAACAGTGAGCAAAGTAAGGTGTCCAGTGAGCCTCAAAATTACATTATACTATAAGGCAGATTCAAAGACAAGATATTTGGAAATGACAACACACCATCAATGTACCAAATGTAGAAGTAGAACTTCAGGCTTTAGTAAAACTGCAACGAATTCATCAAGTTCGACCAGATTTTGGAGAACACTTACACAGATTTGATCTTGAGAAGGACTATGTCAATATTTTTCTTGTGTGTTATCACTGCTCCTTTCTTTCTGAACACATTTTACTTCCCACCTCATGAAACCTTAGATGACTTTTACATAATGGTTTAAAAGACCTTGGTCAGGTCAAATTACAGCAATAAGACTGATGATTTCGTGAAAACCTAACTAGAGAAATTAGTCAAGATTGGCATTGATTTCGAAGAAACACCAATTATTGAATTTGAAAGCCCATATTACAACTTTTCAATCCTTGACTAGCTAAATCTCAGAAAGAACGAAATGTACGTATTCGATTAAGTATACGACCCAAATGTAATTTTCCCAATGAAGATGATATTTACTAGACGAGATTACAATTCTTTATAATCCTTGCTAGGACTATGTGCATATATTTGGTACTTTATATTGATCTTTGTGATGATTATTATAATTAACGGTGATATTGAAAAATAGGTATTGCATCCTTTCAATGCACTGTTTGAAAAAATTTGGTCTCTGATTATCGATCCTATGCTAGTAGTAAACAATCAGTTTCAATAATTTGCTGGGATGTATACAATGTAGTAAAATAAGTAAAGGTAAAATAAGCATGAGGATCAAGGCAATCATAATGATGTGAGCACACTTGATCATAGCTAAGCTTAAATGCCTCGAAGAAGTTAAGTATTTACTAATAAAAGGAAATAACTGAAATAGAAGTCGAAAGATGGAACAATCGACAATGAAATTGAGTTGATTGATGAGAGTTTATTCAAGATTTCAAAGCTATTAATGCTTTACTATGGAGAAGCTGGTGCATCTCTGGTATCTAAAATGATAAGAAGCGAGTCTTCACTTTTAGACTTTTCAGAGGAATATGGTACCAAGACACTAGCTATTTTTGGATTTTGTGATATTAGGAATTTCACAGATGCAACTGAAATCCTTCAGGAAGGAGTAGTGAGTCTGGTTAATAAAGTAGCATATATAGTACATTCTAACACCATTAGATACGGGGGTCAGCCTAATAAGAATATAGGAGATGCTTTTTTGTTAGTTTGGAAACTGAGTTCTAATAAAGAGACCTATGAGATTCTCAAACCACTTGGAAAGATTAAGACAAAAAAGTAAGTTCCAGCTTCAGTAAGAAAAGAAGCTACAATTATAGCAGATGTGGCATTACTAAGCACTCTTAAGACCATTTCATAAATAAACACTGCCAAGGAGCTATAAATTTATAATGATAATCTCGAAATGCATAAGAGAATTCCAGGATTCAGAATTAAAATGGGATTCGGACTCCATCTTGGATGGGCTATTGAAGGTATGATTGGTTCAAACTATAAAATTGATGCTTCATATCTATCTCCGAATGTAAACACAGCTTCAAGATTAGAAGCTGCAACAAAGCAATATGGAGTCTAGATCCTATTTTCTCAAGGAATTTACAGTCTGCTCTCACCAGGGTATTAAGAGTACTGTAGAATAGTTGACAAGGCCATTCTAAAAGGTTGCCAGTCTTCCCAAGATCTTTATACTGTTGATATCGATATGAATCAAGGCGAATTAGCTTAAATTAATGTGGCTGGTATCGGTATTGGTCTAACTCCAAGATAAGACAGTTAAGTTACATTAAATTCTTCTAGAAACTATAAGCAAGTATCTCAAGATGTGATCAGAAATGAACAGAGATGCATTTTCGAGAGTCTCTACAGAGGAGAGATCACTTCAGAGCAGATGCTTATGAAATGCTAAGAAGTTCAAGAAATCCTTATAAAAAGTCCCTATTTTAGAATATTTAAACTCTAGTACTACTAGGCTTTTAGATTATACATAGAGGGGCACTGGCATGAGGCCAAAAACGAGTTTGAAAAATGCTTGAGTATATTTCCAGAGGATGGGCCATCTCAAGTACTACTCGAATACATTGAGTCTCAAAATCTTGACCCAATCAAAGCGAATTGGAAAAATTACAGAGTCCTAGAGGACAAATGAAAAACTAGGAATTCTCTTTTCATAAATATACAGTTATATACACTAAGTAATTGTAATGTTTTTCCTAATAGTAGTTAATTTCATAAATTTGAAATTAACTCATATATTTAATTTAATATTTAACTCATCTTAATATTCATTTTCACTTATGATAGGGGTTTTGGGGTTTTGGGGTTTTGGGG